GTAGATCAACATTTTTGTTTATAATTTTATATATTGTATAGTTGTTTATAAATTTTAGTAGCAGATAGTGCCTCATCTACAATCCTTGACAGATTACCAATTTCATATCAACATACTAGAAGAGATGTCTTATCTAGTTATGTATAACTTCCTCACATTTGGCCAGTTGTATTCAAATAAATAATGTATTGACCAATAATTTTTGAATGTATATTATATAAACAGATGGAAGCAAAATGACATCTTTACTATGTAGCAGCATCTCATTGTCCTAGTTTTTGCTGGGATAGAGTTAATTTTCTTCATAGTAGCTGGTATTATGCTGCGGTTTGGATTTAGTATGAGAATAATGTTGACAACACACAGATGGTTTAGTTGTTGCTAAGTAGCACTTACATTAAGTCCAGGACTTTTCAGCTTCTCGTGCCCTACCAGCGAGAAGGCTGGAGGTGCACAAAGAGCTGGGAGGGGGCACAGCCAGGACAGCTGACCCAGCACCTCAGTGTCTTTCTTGTAGTGAGAGGCCCAAAACTGAACACAGTACTCGAGGCCATACTATTTCTGATACAAGCCAGGATGCTGTTGGCCACCTGGGCACACTGCTGGCTCATATTCAGCCAGCTCTCAACCAACACTTCCAGGTCCTTTTCTGCCAGGCAGCTTTCCAGCCACTCTTCCTCAAGCCTGTAGTGTTGCATGGGGTTGTTGTGACCCAAGTGCAGAACCCAACACTGAGCCTTGTTGAACCTCATGGCCTTGGCCCATGGCCTTGGCCCATCACCTGTCCAGATCCCTCTGTAGAGCCTTCCGAAGCTCAAGATCAACACTCCGGCCCAACTTGGTGTTGTCTGCAAACTTACTGAGGGTGCATTCGATCCCCTCATCCAGATCATTGATGAAGATATTAGAGAACTGGCCCCAGTACCGAGCCCTGGGGAACACCACTTGTGACTGGCCACCAACTCCATTCACCACAACTCTTTGGGCCTGGCCATCCAGCTGGTTTTTTACCCAGTGAAGAGTGCACCCATCCAAGCCATGAGCAGGCAGTTTCTCTAGGAGAAGGCTGTGGGAAATGGTGTCAAAGGGTTTACTAACGTCTAGGTAGGCAACATTCACACATCTTTAGTTTTTCTACCAGTTCGGGTTTTAAATGGTGCAGATCAGGTAAGTTCAGAATTTTCTTGCCTAAAACATCTGTCGACAGCATTTGTAAACCAAATGGAAGCACTTCTTGGTAGGGACTACTTCACATGCTCTGTAGAAACCACCTGTACTGGTTAATACTGGGTGTCTTGGACAGCTCTGTTAAAAATTTCTTTATGCAGTTTGCCTACCCATCTTGCTTAGGACAGGTTGGTTTGTTTTAACGACCTCATCTGTCTGAGCTGCTACTCCCTGCAGCAGGAAAAATTAGTAAGAAGCTGAAGAAAGGCCATGCATTGCAGTCATCTTCCATGTGAGGAAGTACTGTTTGTCCTTTAATATTTTTAAGGTTTGTGGACTTAAGTTATTTTTATTTATTGGTCTTACTTGCAGGACCTCAGTCATGTCCTTGAAAGTGCTTTTTATCTTGATCCTCTTAAAAGCCTTAGCAGGACAAAGCTGTTCATTAAGACTTCCAAGCTATCTCTTGAAGATAAATTGAAAGATAAAGCTGTTCCATTGCAGAGATCTTAAAATCAGTTCAGGGTATATGGACATTATTATAAACTAAATTAACTTCATCACATGCAAAGCAAGGGTTATTCTTCCTAAGCACAAGCAGCTTGATTGTACATCTTTAAGATATATTGCTATAGAAGTCCAGAAGTTTGTGTATCTGCTACCTGGAGATATGCATACTATATAGGGGTTTTTTGTGTGTTAGCCTATAGACTGTTTATTAGCTTGCCCTGTCACATTTTTTCCTGTGATTAAAATACAACTTTAACACCTAAAAGATTAGGTAGGTAGAAAACTGTGACCTATGCAGTGGAATTAGTATTTCTTCAAGAATTATAGTAAATATTTAAGAAACAAACCAAAACAAACCCTGTTTAATTACCTGTTTAATCAAAATTAACAGTTTGATACTTTAGATATGTCTTTGTATCGCTTTCCAAAAGCAGATTTTAACTTCCCTCCCCTTCCCTGGAGTTATCATATTGTTACTTGATATTAACTACTGATTTGTTAAATAGAATTCAAAACCTAGTTTAGATCTCAGGTATTAGAAAGAACTAATTTTGTAGATATTTAACTGTTCTGTTAATTCGTGCTTTAGAGCTGTTTATGACAAATTCATCCAATTTAATTTTATACTTTTGGTAGTTGACTTCTAGCTGCTAAGTGTGTAATACAGTAGGAGCTTCAATAGCCCACTCTGCAAAGGCTGCATGAATTCCAGCATAGTATTAGCAGCAGAATGGCACAGCATATCCACAGAGGAATTCATCTTTCAATTTGCACTTAAAAGTTAAGTGCCCTTACCACCATTTCCTATGGCAAGATGAGTCATGTTTGTACTGTATAACAGGGTACTTGCACCTGTAGGTTACATATTTGAAACTCTAGCTAACTTGTAGACAAGACCTTTAAAGACGCCTGACGGAGGCTTTACCATTATAATGCCATCTTTATAAATGATGGCAAGTTAATTGGTTTAAGAAGAAAATGTTCTATAGTGTTAATTTGCTTAATATATATCCATTAATTAGGGTAAACATAAAAATAAGCCATATATACTGGTATGTTAGGGTGAATAACAATTGTGTCTTTAGATTATGTGTTCTCAATGATATGCCATCCAAAAATCCTCACGGGAGACTTTCTCAGTGTTGTGATTTTGTGGTTGTGATCAAATGTGATTTTAGTGAAAGTGAAAATTATTAGTTTAGTGAAATAAATAAGAATTTTTTGTTTTATATCAACAGAATAGTTACAGTATGTGTAGTGGCTTAGGGAGCTTTTCTGTAGTGTTTTACAAGCATTGAGGTGTGGGTTTTTTCAAGAAGGCATTCTGTCAGTCTTTCAGTTTATGGTGCCTGTGAAGTTGGTCAGAGTTCTTTGTGTCTTTCCATCCCTATCCTAGAGTATTATCCTTGTGTTCATTCCTCCTAGTAAGCCGTGTTTAGGAGTCATCCTCTCCATATATGCTATTGTCCTAAACTTTTCTTGTCTATTAAAAACTAGCTAGATACAATTACTGTCCTCTCTTATAACTGTATAAAGCATAGCTTTTGGTTTATTTAGAAAAATTATGCACTTATTTTACATTGAGTGACATTGTATAAATTTAATTTGACTAAATGGTTGGTTCAGTAATCACATCTTAAGACAGCCATTTGTTTTTATATTCACCTTCAATTAATAATTTTGTGATGTCCATTCAGTATAACCAGATGGAGTTATTGTTATCAATCCATTATCAATTACCAAGCCTGCCACGTATCAACCATGGCAGAAAAAAACAGAATTCAGCAGTATTCTGAGAAGCGTTTAAAAATCGGTCTGCTGATTTTAGTATTATAAGTTATGAATTATAAAAAAAAGTCCTTGAAGGGGAGGCTTTAGCTCTGAGTTGAGGGAGAAAATTAGGTTTCAGAACAAATTTGTTGCCAAATAAGACGTTTGGAGTTACTGTACAGAATTAACACCTAACACGAGTATTTTCCCACAAGATAGAAAGGCAGTTGAGAGAACTGCAATTACTGTGAAAGCATGTGCATGTTAGTTTATTCTTGTGTAGTAATCAGATATTTATTTAAACACAAATTGTGGATTTCTTTAATTTTACAGATAGTACAGTGGCCTTTCTCTTGCTTTTAACTTGGTTTTGTCTCACATTATGAGCGGTTTAAGAGCACTTAATGCACCAGTACCAATTTATTCTCCCAGAAATGATCACAAGAGTGAACAATACTAGCAGCCAAACAGAGGACTGGTGTATGTATTTGAATATACTCATATGAGTGTTCAGGATACTGCCATCTGGTTTAGGAAATGGCAATATAAGGATGATGGAATTAGGTTACTATGGAAAAAATCTGGATGCCCAATAAGTATTCTCAAATTTTTAACAAATTTTTCTTTTTGCTGTCTGTCAGTTTTCCATAGTATAGGTGGATAAGCATGATATTTTGGTTGTTTTTGTGAAGAAAAAGTAGTACAGCATTTAGGATGAGCAAGTAAGGTAAGCTTTGTGAAAATAAATACCTACTTTGTAGAAAAAGCTGAGAAATGGAGTCTAGATTGTGGATTAAGGTACAAAAATCTGCTGTTCCTGTGGGGGATGGTAAGGAAGAGGGCAATGATTATCTTCAAAAGGAATAACCAGTATTTTAAAAGACAAATGCTTTCTGTGTGTTCTCTTGCTTTGGTCCCTTTTTCTGGTTCCCATAGTAGTCTCTCAAGGTATATGAAGAGGAAAAAGAAGGGAAAATGGAATTTAATGCTGAAAGACCAGTAAATGAGCACCTTTTCTTTCTTTCTTTTAGTTTTTTTTTTTTCTTCCTCCACCAAAGGATAGTATGCTTCAACAAATATAAGTTACCAGATACAATTTGAGAGTGACTGAAATTTTTCATATAATGACAGAGGTTCCCAAACTTTCTGAACAACCAATTCTCTTTCTTTATTTTTCAAATGGACCAGCAAGTATCTTCCCAAGGAAATTTGTTTGAAAATGTTTTAAAGGTGGTGTAACTTTTGTGCTCTTAGTATAGGTTTGTAGACCACTGGCTGTATATATGAGCGTTACTGGTCTTTGAAGTTGTGCTAATGGATAAATGCATTAGAAAAAATAGGTATGTTAATCAACTATTTAGAGTAAGGTAAAAATAAGTTAAGTATCAGCATAGCTGGTTACTTTGTGATGTATGCTAGATTTCCAAATACTGAGACAAATGAAAATACTACCACTTGAATATTCATAAGTGGTCTTCACAAAACTTGGTCAATGATTGCTTTAAGTAAATACCAGTGTAGCTGTGACGACTTCAAAATGTCTTACTTTCTAGAGCTATGAAGACGAGAGGAGGAATCGGTCAGAACTTGAGGTTAGATGCCAGCGTTTAACACTGGAACTGGCTGATACCAAGCAGATGATTCAGCAAGGTGATTACAGACAAGAGAACTATGATAAAGTAAAATGGTAGGTATCTCTCTAGTTCAAGTGTTCTACTAGCATACAAATGTTAATAAACTTCAGCTTTGACTAGAGTTTTTCGTTTCACGATTTTTATTTTACACACACCACAGATATTTTTTCCTTACCGCAATCCACTAACAATTCAGTTATCTCCTGTAGTATATTGCAGTCATAAGATGAACGCTACTTTGAAATCTGATGCATCAAATTATCTTCCTAAAAGTTTATATTTAGGGATTCACTATGTTTTCAGAAGAGCCTAGCAGTCTCATTGCAGCTAAAGAACTGGGAGCTGTCGATGCCAACCATCTTAGAACAAGTACTCTTTTTATTTTCCTAGTTTAAAAGCAATGATCTAACAAAAGACCCTGTGCTTTACTGTGTGGTGCCTACACAGTGAATTAAGAGGGTAGGATCTTAGGAATTAATATTTAACAACTTAAGACATCCTTGTAACCATAAATTTGAAAAGGCTGTTGTGAGAACTCTTAGAGAATCTTAGGGTTACCTTAGTGAATTGGTTTAACTGCAGGAAGTTCCAGTGTCTCTTTTCATTTTTAAAATACAGATTTTAGCATTCCAGCCTGTGCTTTGAGTGCCCATCTCATGAACAACAATTGCAAAATAGTGAAAATGGACTTCTTATAAATACACTCATAGACATATACTTCACGGTCCAGCTCCCAAATAGCTTTTCCAGTGTGCTTGCAAGTACAAAAAAACTGGCCTTTGGCACATTTGCTGGGGAATGGATTAAAAAATGGGGATTATGAATAGAAAACAGCCTGTCGGCTCCTTAGTTGTTCATACTGAATGAACTCAGGCACAGTTACTGACACAAAGTCATTTGAAGGAGAGTCTGTGTTCTGTTCACAGCTATATGTACTAAAACAACTTTGGAATCTACCTGGAAGCTTGTTGCAAATAGGATGGATTGATGCTTATGGTTTGCTTCCCATGTGCAACTGCATCTTAATAAGTGGATTGTAATAACTTTCATGTGAATGGCCCCAGTGTTTAACAGTGTACGTTTAAAATAGTCTTGAGTTGAAAAAGGCATGAATAAACGTGCCAAAACTATATTTGAGAGAGTAGGTTGTATTCATCTGGGTAGGCACAGACGAAGGGGAGGGGAGAGCACTGTTGGCATGACTGCATGAGGATATTTGGGAGTATTGCACGAGTTAATCACTTCCAGACTCGTTTCTGCCTTTAAAAATGCTATGTCAAATCTAGTTCTGGTGTACTACAAGTTATCTCAGTTTTAAAGCTATGCTATGCTTAATATAAAACTGGTTAGCTTTTTTCCAAATTGCAAGCTCATACTGGCTCATTCATTTCACTGTTCTGACAAGGTCAGATAGAGTGGAGACACAGAGCTGCTTCTTTATGCATATGGAAAGCACTCTTACTCAGGACACCAACATAATTTTTGCAGCTGTGTCATATATTTTAAGCATGAAAAGAGTAGTGCAACCTCCTGTGGTATCAAGGGGCTGTATACAAGGGAGAGTAGCAACTGAGAACAAGTATACGTTGCTTTCTGCTTCATTAGGAAGATGAGAATGAAATTGCTTTAGTTTTTCATCAAACTTAATGTCTGCAAAAGATTCAGGAGAATGTCACGGGAAATAACATCAAAAGCTTGCCAAATCTGAAAGGATGGACAAGGGTACTTACAGTACCCGTTGCTAAGAGGAGAAATGTGTAGCCCAAAGCCTCAAGAAGAATAATCAGAGTATGAAATAATTTAGGATAGGAATTCAGGATTATTGTATTATAATCTAGGATTTTTTTAAAATACTTAGAAATTAAGAAAATTACTTCATATAATAAGATATTGTTGCAGTGTTAATAACTAAAAAAAGGTAAAATTATCACTAAAGTGCTATGAGTGACTGGTTGGAAGAAGTCAGTGTCATGAACTGAAAGAAGACTGAGAAATGACAAATGCACAGGAATCTTGTTCATTACATTTTATGCACCTAATAATTTCACTTTATTTTAACAGTGAACGTGATGTATTTGAACATGAATTGTCAGAACTCAGAAGAAAATATGAAATATTAGAGGTGTCACACAAAGCGCAAGCTAAAGAAAGAAATGACTTATCAAAAGAGGTAAACATAAAGTTCTTATCTCAATAATTGTCTATTTCTTCACCTCAGGAATTTGATTGTTTGTCTAATCAAGTCTGGAGGATCATGGATTAGAATGGTCCACAGGAGAGCAGCTGGTCCAACCCTCGCATGCAGTGCAGAGCCAACATAGGTCAGGTTCCTTAGGGCTTTGTCAAGTTTTGAATATCACCAAGCAATGAGATTCCACAGCCTTTTCTGGACAATCTGTTCCATGTTTGTCCACACTCTTTGTGAAAAATTTTTTTTAAACCTAATCAGAGTTGTTGCAGCTTTTTTCTGTTGCCTGTCACTGTGTGCTTCCAAGAGTCTGGCTCGCTCTATGCGGTCCAGTTGGATAGGTGAAGACAACAATAAGCTTTTCCCCATCCAGATTTCTCTTCTGAAAGCTGAAAGAACCCCACATTTCTCTCAACCCCTTGTACATCACATGCTGCAGTCCATGACTGTCTTGGTAGAGCTCCTCTGGTCTTGCTCTGGTATGTTAATGATGTCTTTATGGGGAACTCAGAATGGGACATGGCACACCAAATACAGTCTCACAAGTACTAAACACAGGGTAATCATTTTCTTCAACCTGTTGTCTGCATTGTTGCTAATGCAGCTCAGTAGGCACTTGGCCGCCTTTTCTGTCAGTGCACACTTCTGCCTCATGTTCAGTTTGTTCAACTCATATTCACCTGTCCAATCCATATTTTGCCAATTTTCCCATAGATATGTTATGGGAGATGGCTGAAAGCTATGCAAAAGTCCAAGTAAATGACATGGACAGCTGTGCCCTCATCCATAGAGCCAACTTTCTTGTCAGGTTTGCTAGGCACGGTTTGGCCTTGGTAAATACATGCTAGTTGTTTCCAGTCACCTTTTCCTCCATATGCTTCCAGGATATGGCTTCCAGGAGGATTTGCTTCATAATCTTAGTGGGGACTGAGATTAGACTTACAAACCCACAGTTCACTGGGTCCTTCTTGTTGAAGATGGATTCTGGTCATCAGAAGCCCTACTCACTTGCTATGATCTTTCAAACAGCAGGCCAACCTCACAGCAACATTGGCTATCTCCCTCAACATCGGTCAAGTGCTTTCTGTTTTTCCCTAGGCACTATGTACATGCCATTTTCCTAGGTCTCTAGCTTAGTCTTCCTTTGCTGCAGTCTTCCAAACCCTGCCAATAAACTCAGGAACCTGGGAGGCCCAAGGACAACATTTGCCAGTGAAGGCTGAATGCTGTGAGTATGCTCTATCCCTCAAAAGGTGCAGAACTAGTTATAACTTACTTTAGCTCTTTCAGACCAATAGTGACAGTAGGGCAGAGATACTGTGTAGCTTATGTTTTGTTGTGTATGTTTTTTCTAGACATCAATAGAGTACATAGTTTTTCTTCTTTGTGACTCTTCAGTAAAATAATGGTTCAATTGCCTGAAGTATGTTTCACTTCGCCTTTACAGAAGTTAGTTCTGTGTCAGGAATAGAGAGACTGCTATTCTGGACCTCTTCTTTCTATGATACTGCCTATTGTCAAGAGGAACTCCAGTGCTGCTTCCTTTTTGGGCAGGACTGCCTACTAGGGTGATGGACTGTTTTTCTCTAACATGTCTCTGTTCATCTTTGAAAATCTTTCTGCTGGGAAAATGAATAAATGCCTCTTCAGGCACAGAGAGTTTCTCATCTTTGTCAGGGTTCTGGTGAGTTCTGATCCAGTTAGGTCAGTCACTTCAGTGACTCAGTCATTGCCATTCTGGTAGCACTGGTGTTTCACAGGAGAATGTGTTTCTGCTGCTCCAAAGACCATCCAAGAGCCAGAGCCCTGCCAGGTCAAGAAAAATGTCCCTTGCTGCTTCTCTGTTCATTCATTCAGTCATGAATTGTTCAGTGATGACTCCCTTACTGAACATGTATGATAACTTTTGAGTCAAGGGACTTAGAGAAATATGTGTAGAGAATATTTCCAAGTCCACTGCCTTGATCTATAGGACTTTTTATAGTTTATACCAGTACAAGCTTCCATTACTCACTATCCATTATCACTATTTCTGTATCAAAATTGTGCGTGGGGAGGATTGCTTCAGTGAACCTCCAGGATTACTTACTCAATTTAAGTAAGTGGGATAGAATCATGGAAAACTATGGGAACCACTAAGGGATTTTTCCCTTCATCTGATGTTGGCGTAACTTTGCAACAGCTTTTCAGGAGGGAGAAGAGGCTTTTTTTACTGAATCTCAAGAAGGAAACTTTTTCAGTTTGTATCATCATTGACTAGTTATCAGATGGTTTGTAGCTCAGTGCAATTTTGATGCAAAAATAAGAATATTTTTTAAGCTGAGTTTCTGTATAGAAATCTTTCCAGGAAACATCAAAAGGAATAAAGAAATAATTGATTGGCTGTTCTGAATTAACTTGAGAATTTATTTTTTAATGTGAATGAAAGGGGCACTGCATGAGAAGGTTGTTCTTGACTTCTGTACTGGTCCCCGCAAGAATCAAATGGAGAATCTTTGTGTGTTTTTTTTTCCTTCTTAACTCTGTTATCCCAGAGGTGCTACATCCATGGCTGATGGGCTCGGCCTTGGCCAGTGGTGGGTCTGTCTTGGAGCTGGCTGGTATTGGCCCTGTTGGGCATAGGGGAAGCTTCTAGCAGCTTCTCACAGAAGCCACCCCTGTAGCCCCACCTGCTACCAAAACCTTGCCACACAAACCCGATACACAGATGGAGAGAAGCATGCCTCTAAGAGCTTTTTTGCCTTTTTTTTTTTTTTTTTGGTACGGATTTTTGGCTGTTTAACTAGTTGTTCCATGTCTTTGACTCGAATATCTCCATTAAGTAACCTTTAGTACTTTTATGACTCAGGAAGGGTGAATTCTGTCTAAAACATGTACATGATGTCTTTATAGCTTTGGGGGACATATTTCTGATACATTACTTATTTATCATTCTTTGAACTTGGCATGTGACATCCTCAAGAGGTTAAATGGCAAAATTATTTAAGGTGATAAAACTGCATTTTGCTATAATGAGTAAGGAGTTGGCCACTGTGCACGAGTGCCATTATGGTTTGTGGCTGTTCTCTGACAATGTTCACCTAGAATAAATGGAGTCTACTCTCTCCCACACCGCTTCTTGGAGTAGTAAAGATGACTGATCTGGTGATTGGGAAGGCTGTTACAGAAACTCAGAAGATACTAATGTTTATACTTTGGCATCAGTTCAGCTTTCTGTAGCAACACAATGCTAAATGAAAGTCAAAACAAGGCGTGCATAACCCTCTTTGCCCTTGGTGCTGGCCTGGACCGTTGCCTTGTCCATGACAATCATGATATACTTCAGCCCCAGAACTAGTAGTTTTACCATTTCTTTATGGAGCAATAATCACTCTGGTGCACTTAAACTTTTCACTTCTGTTTCTGAGAGTGTCGTAGCCAGTATGATGACAGATTGGTACCAAGACTCGTAACTGGTATTTCTGACATCGTACTTTTCAGTACTATCGCTATATAGTACCTCAGTACTATTTAGATACTGAGGTACATTAAGGGACACTATCTCTTTTTCAGGTGCCAATTACCAGAAATAAATAATGAAAACTCATACAAGTATAATTTTATTAAAGCCTTTTTTTCAGCATAAAACTTCACCACCTTACTCATGTTGAACATAAGTGTAAATAGAGTTTTTTGGTTCAGGTGATTTCACAGAGGAGAGTTACAATGAAATCACAAATATGTGTACATAGGTTAAATACTTATCTTGAAGTTCATGTTAAAGTGTTCTTTTTAATGTCTTTTATAGCTGGCAACTATACAACAATCCCTCAACTTATTGCAAAAAGATAAAGATTATCTTAATCGTCAGAATATGGAGCTTAGTGTTCGCTGTGCACATGAAGAAGATCGTCTTGAAAGACTTCAGATGCAGCTAGAGGATGCCAAAAAAGCTAGGGAAGAAATGTATGAAAAATATGTTGCATCCAGGTAAGTTATCTTGTGTTCACTTCTATCAGTAGACAAGTTAGTTAACTGTTTTCCCTTGTTTCTTGCACAAATCCTGTTTAAATATAATTTTAACTTTCAGAAAGCTAGTCCATATTTGTGTAACTAGAACCCACTTCTGTTGAGTCTTAATATGTATCAGGAAATTTTTCTTAAACCTTTGTTACAGGACCATAGTAGTGAAGATGTCAGCATTGAAAGTTTATGGCAACTGTTCTCTTAGGTGTATATAAAAATTTACAGAGGTAACTGTAATTAATTACAAAAGATAGAAAAACTCTTTAAAGTGCATACGTTGCATATCTTACCCCCACACACCCCAAATGACTTTTATTAAAAACAGGAGTATTTGAAAGACAATTTAAATTATTTAATTCTGCAATAATATATTTATTTTTCACAAATGTTTAAAATAGGACATAATGTGTTTCGTATCAGCTATTAGAGCTATCAGTGTTTCATATCTCAAGTTTGAATACAGATTCTCTAAATGTAGCCTTGAGAAATAAATTGATCATTGTATGCTAGCCACAATGATAAATACTGTCAAATCCATATGGTATTTGAATTGGTATAGATATATGTTGAACAGGAAACACTACACTATTCAGCTACATGTCTTGCTACATATGTAATGCTGTACTACAAAATTTAATAGAATTGTAGAATATCTCAAGCTGGAAGGGAGCCATAAGTATCCAACTCTCTTCTCCTCTCAGGACTACCTAAAACTAAATCATATGACTAAGATAATTTTCCAATTTCAAACCACATTTAGATTCGTCTTATTCAGAATTCAAGGTTATCCAGTTCAAGTTATTTCCATACATCTAGATGCAAAAAAATAGAATTTCAATGTATATCCCAAAATTACATCAAATATTTGCTTGTATGTTCTTCATTAATGAACATAAAACCATTTTTTTGTTAGTAGTGTCCTTAAACACATGTGGATTGAATGAATAAGCTTAGAATAGGAAGTAGGTTCAGCTTCTGTTTAGCTTCTTCCTTCTGTCTGAATCAAGAAGATGGAACTACAAACAGCATCTATAAATCTTGTGTCCTTGTATAACTAAGATGAAATGTGCTAATATGACTCTCCTGTAAAACAACTAAAAGACAAATTGTCTTCTAAATAGAAATAGAAGAGCACTCTACTGGATTTATCAGCCATGAAGTTCCAGACCGTCAGAAGTGGTTTTAATATTATTTTTCCTTTCAGTGCAGTCTCTTAAACTTTTTTTTTTATTTCTTTTGTGTGTATATATCTCTGAATTATGCTCACCTGGAACTTTTGCATTTTAAATAATATTTTAAGACTTACGTTTAAATGGGATTTGAAGAAATCATCTAGGTCTGAGCAGTCTTCCTCTAGAAATGTGCTTGTAAGCACTGATTCTTGTAGCTAGATTTGTGTTTCTAGAAAACCATTGTGAAATCCTTTGCCTGCAATAATAACGTAGGCTGTCTCCATTTGAGGAGTCTACAAAGACACCTACATAGCTTGCCTCTACCACAGTTTGGGATACTGTGCAAGCCTGCTTTACTGTCCTCTGGAATATCAGCGGTCTCTGTCTCTTGCACTTTGATACCAACTAAAAAGAAATTTGGTGACTCTTACTTTGCCTTTAGAGATCTTGATACTGTCGTTGGGATTTTGTACTGTTACCAAATCCGTCTCTTCACATCGTTGGTATTGGTGACTCTCTTCATGATGCTAATTTTCATAGGACAGATATTAACTGTAATGAATAATGCAGGTACATCTTCTCTCCTTTAGTGACCATTATTGTCTTTCATAGCAGAGAAGACAGTGTAATGTAGTAAGCAGCATGTGTAGGACCGCACTGCAGCTTTATTCAAAGTTCCGCAGCTGACCTGCTCGTGAACTTTGAATAAGTAATTTCATAATGTAAAAATGTAATGTAAACTGTAAAAATGTAAGTTTTCTTTCAAAAAACGGGGGTAATAGTAATGGGGGTAATAGACGAATCACAGCAGGTCATAGCTACAGTTATTGGGAATCTGTGTACAGACCAATGCAAAAGATTTCCCTTTATATGTTTAAAGCACAATCCATGTTTGCATTGAGATGCTCAGATCACATTCAGTTTATTCTCAGTATAAAGCCTTATCAATAACAGGCCTGGAAACACGCTCATTAAAGCCCGCAGCCTGAAGAAGACAAAACAACTCAATGAGGCAAAACCATTTTTAATTACTAGTCAAGCAAAACACTGTAACAACAGGTCAGGAATAAAAATTGCAAATGATGGTCCTTTGCTTCAGCAGCAACTCAGTGTTTATTAAAAGGCATTATCAGGGCAGTCAAGCTATATACTCGGAACATGCCATATTGTTTATTTTATAAATAAATATATTGTTTATTTTTTATACCATTTGTTTATTTTAGTCATCATAAAGATAAGCATGACTTTGTACTGTCTTCTGGTGACATCACTGTGGGTGTTCAAGACTTTTCCAGATTCTTCTGATTTTTTCAGTGAACCTTCCTGACTTCTAGCAGTTTTGCCACGGATGGGAAGGTGTATTATCTGCAACAACAGAAATTTCTTTTTGGAAAGTAGTAATGGTAATAGCAAATTGTCTAAGTACCAAGAAAATGGTGATGCTCGTTGATTCTGCACATAAGAATTGTATCCTGAAGTCTTGATCTTCAGCATTTTTCTCCCTACATATTGAGCGATATAACACATAAAGAAAACAAGAAGTTTCAAATGGGGACCTTACATTCCAGTACAGTGTGTTTGTTTTGTTTTATTATAAACTTCTTCATTGTATCAAAGATTCATTGCTGTAGTGTGGTGCACTTGAGGAAAGAGAGGAGATAAATTTACTTTTACCTTGAAAGGTCAACTGAAATTCACTGTGTCAATAAAAAGAAAAGAGGAAAACCTGGACAGCAAGCATTCTGACATGCAAATATTTGGGGGGGCTTAGTTAATGTGAAGGAGTTTTTGTCCAGCTCAGGTACTGATTTCTAAAAATTATGGAAATCGGAAGAAAGGCACATTTCTTCATAAACATGCTTTTATTTCCAAACATGTAATTTCTACCAGTTGCTTCACTGCTGATTGATTATTCTTGAACATTAACTAGATGCTATAAAATTTTAACATTTAACATTCCTTAGCTGTTAAGTACCTATGACATAAGCCTTGTTTTGTAGGAGAAATTCTTTATGGGATTCCTTACAATCTGTCACGGGCTTCCAAAGTTACAAAAAGATGTCAATATTACTCTGAAATGAAATTATTTTATCCTGGAATCTTTTGATATCTGCTGCTTAAAAACTGAAGTATGTATTTTAATTAATATATATGTCACGTTGACAGCAGAAATTCCCACATCTTGGGGTTTTTCATCTTCACAAATCTCCACAGCATGTAACCTTCAGTGTTTCTTGTGGTTTGTTCTCCATATAAGGTGCAAATAGTACATAACAAAGTCTTGTAGTAGCGTGGCACTATTGTAACTTAGCAAGTTAGTCAACCCTTGCCTAGTGATGAAGAAGCTAGAAAACTTTGGAAAGTGAGGAACTTTTTTTTTTTAAGTGGCTAATTAATATAAACACTCATGTAGAGGCTGACAAAGAATTTCTGGAAGAATGTGAAGCATAATGTTGCATGATTAATCAATGTCAAATTACTTTAAAAAAATTAAAACAATGCAGAAAGCTTTTATTTATTCTCAATTAAATATTCTTTATTCCTGATTGGTTTTCACTCAATTTGCATAACAACATAGGCTAATATGCATTTCAAGCTATTTGGGAGGAAAATGACTAAGAATTAAAATAAAATGTAAAATCAAGAAGTGTTCTGCTGTACTTGTACAGCTGTACCTGAAGTTTTGATATTTTGCCCAGTGCAATTAATCTTAAATTCCCATGTTGTGTGTTTGTTTATTTACAGAGACCACTATAAAACAGAATATGAAAAAAGACTGCATGATGAGTTGGAACAAATAAGGTTGAAAACAAATCAAGAAATCGAGCAACTAAGAAGCACTTCAAAAGAGATGTATGAACGTGAAAACAGGTAGATAAGATGCAAGCAATAACCTAATTAGGGCAAAAATGAGCAAGTACTGTTTTGTGCTTAGGTATAATCCCAGCTGACTGACTTTTTGGGAGGTGATCAAAATGTGAGAATTTAAGTTCAATTATAAAAATGATGAGAATCTTTTAAAAAGATTCTTGTACAGTAAATGTATAGAATCATAGAATGGTTTGGGTTGGAAGGGATCTTAAAGGTCATGTAGTTCCAACCCCCCTGCCATGGGCAGGGACACTCTCCACTAGGCCAGGTGGCTCAATATGCTCAAATATATGGTGTTATGCTTATTATTAAATGGTGGACATCCCACATTGTCAACAAAAAGTGTTAAGTGTCATGTTCTAGATAAACATTAGTGATTTGAAGTTTGTTCAGATGTATAGTGTTAATTAATAAAAAAATGTGTTGATTTACCTGTCATGGTATATGGGCAATCTTGAAACTGTGCCAGGAAATGGGAAGAGAAGGTGTTGATGCAGAAAGTAAAGCAGAAAGAATGAGAGGAAACCAATGAGACTTAATGCCTTTCTAAAATAAATCTATTTGAGATTGTTTACAGCTTTACGATTCAAAAAAGCATTGATTTCCTGTAAATGATTATAAAAGCCTATTTTGAAGAAGATCCTAGTCCTGCAAAGATCTGCACATTGCATTTGGTATGTGTGTCATCTTGTTGAATTCCATGGAATTATGCGCAGAGTTAGGCATATACATCAGTCTTTAGGGATCTAAGGATTTGGACTTTTGGCACTGGATTTATTTTTGAGCTTGTTTTTTGCCCCTTTTATTCCTTTAAAATGGGAGGAGCATTTAATAATTCATTATAACTTCATTGTAGATGTCCTGAAAGTGTCTTGTGTGGAGAAGGAAATGACTGTAGTAAAAAGATATTTGTGGCATCAGCATCTGTTCCTCTAATAGGTAGTTTTGGTATTGCTTGGAAGAGTGAAAAAAGAACATGACTCCTGCTGTCTGTCTTCCAGTCAACTGAAAGGTTCTAATTAAAAAAAGTTACATCATTGTGTAGTTTTGCAAGTGTGAGTAAAATATATATACACACAAACATACATCCACACCACTTCCTGTATGCAAATCTATTTTGAATTACAAAGTATGAATTTAAACCTCTACTGTTTGTGAAGATATAATAAGGGTCTATATATCATTGAGAAAGCTACTGAAAGATATTTCATTTGTACCTGAAACAAATTTACAGAAGTTTTGTTCCTTGTTTTGAAATAATTACATCTGAAATGTAAATCCCTTAGATTTGGCTTCATACGTTGCAAAAAAGGATTTTTAGTGTATGCTTTTTCTATAAAATAATAAAAATTCCACCATAAGTCAATGTTTCCCAGTCTGAGGCACCTCTCAATGGCAAGACAAATGGAATCCCAGTTGTGAGAGATTTATTTCAAAAGCTAATATAGATGCCCTCATGCTTCTACTTCCCCTCCTCTGCCCTCATCCCACCTTTTTTTTTTTTCCTATACCTGTTTATGACTCTGTAGGTAGTATTCCTGTCCCATTTTAGAAGGGTACTTTCACTTGCTAGATACCTAGCAAGTGCAGTCCACATGGCCTGTACAAGCAGCCATCAGGTGCTCTGCCACTTTTAATATTGCAATCACACAATCTGAAAACCGGCAGTGTTTCCTAGCTCTGTTGAAAATATTTCAACAGAAGTTACATCACATCTGTGATTGTCTTGTTGGTCGAGTAGTACCTCTCTTGTGTCTTTTTTCCTTCTATTGCATTTTCAATTGATTAGCTATTCAGTTAAGCAAAATAGTTTATTGTCTAAATGAGTAGCTGTACATCTCCTACCATTGAATTTTTATCCCGCTTCCCTTACTCTAGTCTTGAGGACACAACATTGCACTCCCACTCTGAGACGTAATATGCTTGATCTTAATGCTGTTAAAATTAATCACCATGTTCTTATATTTTGATATGAGTCGATTTTAAAGAATCTACTCTCAAGATCAGTCCCTGAATCTCATTGATAATCCTGTAGCACAGTGACTTAATTTTTAAAGAAAAATAGCCAGTTAGCTGTTACCTAATTCTGATGTTGATTCTTCATAAGTAACTACTTCCTATTCATATGAATTACTTTGAGTTCAGAAAAGTACCATTGATAACATTTCCTTAGTCTAGAAAACAGTCTTTCATCCAAAAATTAGATCTTTAGTGTGGCTAAAATGACCTAGGATAACATTTACATGGGCTTAGTAGTTTTCCATTTACCTCTATATCTTGACTTTTCTCTTGTCTTCAAAATCTGCTTGAGACTGTAATTTCACTTTGCTTTAAGTCAAAAAGTTCCTGTGGGGAAGGGGCGGACGGAATAACTTCAGTGGGAAGAGCTTAGTTGCATCTACATTAACAGTTTAGTTCAGATGAAGAATGTGGTTTTGAAGTGAAACCCCCCAGTCATTGCTGTCTGCCTCACAGTTTGTGCTTGGATTTGCAGTACTGTGCTTACACTTGTAGCAGATGAACAGGATTCCTTTTGGAGTAAACTAAATTAAAAGCAGTCTCTAAGATCATCTAATAGATTCCAAATGCTAGTGAGTGTTCAGGTCACAGGAGCAAACCAGGTGTAAAGTAAAATCCTCAAAAACAGTCATAGGTAGATGTCTGATCCTCAACAACCGCTATTTGCTCTGCAACTTAGCTGTTACTGTGTTGCACTCAATAGTGGAGACATTGCAATATTATGCTACAGGCAGGCTATAGATGAATGGGCTACTAATACCTATATAATTTTTTGACACAAATACTACATGTCTTATTCTTCATATGATACTATTCTCATTTGTGTCAGTGAAATAAGAATGAGATAGTTTGCAAGTCTTGAGTGGTTCTTGGTTAAAAAAATTGAAAAAGTATAGATTGATTGCAATAAAGTGTTTGTGTTATATTATGGTTCTGTGCGCATCAAAAATTATGTCAGCAATAGAATCCAGAAGGAAACACCAATGATATGCAATAATCCATATATCGGACTAACTAGCAATTAGTTGTATGTGGAAATAGGTTTTCTATGCCTGGCTAATCTTCTCCTACTCTATCATAAAAGTTGTAAATCATGTTAGCTATGAGGACAGCATTCCCCTAGTTATTAATGAAGTACCAAGCAAAATTATTGGAATTTATTTAATTCGTACAAAAATTAAATAATTTACAGTTCTAGTAATCCAGAATTATTCATATATTTCTACATATAAATAAGTGGTTTGATCATTGGTTTTAGAATTTCAGAACTGGAAACTTTGCTGGTATATATATGAAAGTAATCTGAAATAAAGCCTCTGTAATGAATAGGCATATAAATAGACAGACCCCTCTATCATTCTGAGAATTGAAGAAGGTAGCATTGAAGCTAAGGTCAGTCAGTAGTAATTAATGAAGCAAAACAGTCTTTTTCCTAACAGATTTTTGACAGAATAACTTTTGTTTCATTCAGAAATTTGAGAGAAGCAAGAGATAATGCTGTCGCTGAAAAAGAAAGAGCAAATATTGCTGAAAAGGATGCTTTAAGAAAATATGATCAACTCTTAGAACAGTAAGTATCTTTTAAAATGCATATAAAAAAATCTAAAGGTATAACTATATATCTAAGGAGTTTTTTAGTTAGGAGGAATGACTGTTTTGGCTTTCTGCTTGTAAAGAATTAACTGAATTACAAACATTTTGTTTAAATGAAGTTACAGATTTAATTCTAGTAGCAATTTTTTTTCCATTACCAGTGCAGTAACAATGTGAAAGTTTGATTGTTCTCCTACAATCCTGTAAAGACAAGCAAACAAAATTATACATCTCCATAGCAAGATTGTGGATTTCATATTGTACCGTAGCAGTGGTCAAACTCTGAACCTATTCTGTTGGCTTTTTTCTGTAGTTGAAAGTAGAAAATTACCTTGGATGATAACTTCAATAATAGGTTTTGTAAAGTGTGGTTAGAGAGAAGTAATCATAAACAGTTATGCTTGCTCAGTGCTTCTTTTCTTACTGCTGTCTCTTCTCAGTCTTTCATATTGCATGTATAAAATATAGTGTCTATACAAATGTACAATTCTATTCATACCGAGATGGAAACTATGATTGATTTCCTGCCTGTGTACAAGCAGTCTTACTATCCTGCTCTGCAGCACCTTATCTTCACTTTTTGTAAATTTAGAATATTAGATATGGTAAATTATGAGGTAATTTAAAACTATGGACAGTAGTCAAAGCTGTTCAGGGTAAGTTTGTCATGTGTCCTTAATTTTGGACTTGGTTCATTGTTTAATCCACACCTTTTTTCTAAAATGAAAAGGTCAGTTCATTAACCAACTGTGCCACCTAGTCATCTACTCAGAGAAAGTGCTCGATGTGAACTGGGTTTGCTTGGAATTGTTTTTAATTACAATAGTAATCTGTTAAAATATTGTACCTTAAGCATAGGCATAAAGTAATTAAAGCTTTTAAATTTTTATGTGTAACTCCTAAATTGCAGTAGTGATATTACTGAAGAAATAGCATTGCCCCAGCATAGCCACAAAGAACTGAAAAAATGTCAGCAGTAACTAGTGGTGTGAAACAATAGAGGTAGTTCTAGAGTGAACAAGTGAACAAGATGGGTCAGAGGACTTAATATCCACGCTGAGTTTCAGGGGTTTGATTATAAATTCTACTTCAGGCTGAATGGGCCCACGGGTGCTGAATGTCTTTTAGTGGTTAGAGTGCATCGTAGGTGTTCTTGGATTTTCAGAAAGGAATTCAGTTAGCAAACTCTGAGATGGCTCTACAATGCAAATCAAAATGTGGAAATCAAAGCTGGTTAAGTGGGGACAACCAGGAAACTGGGTTCGAAACTGATCTCCTGAGTCGAAATGAAATGCTAATTTAAGGCAACAATGTGTTTGTTTCTGATGAGACTTACTATGATATGTGGGGAGTTCATATCTAACTGAAAGGTCTTCTGGAAGGTTGGTCTGGCATATAATTGAGTATGCACACTTAATTGTTTTTAATGAAAATACCAACTTTATAAAGGTATAAACAAAGGAAACATAGGAAGAAGATTTTAAAATGCAAGCTTTAGAGGGGAAGAAAAGAAAGTTATCTTGTTTGATACACTCATGCTTCTGTCCTCCTGTAGCTTTTTCTAGTGATAAGTTCTCCAATTAAGTAAAACTCTCCTTTCCTCAATTTAAATAAGTTAATAAGTTGATTAATACTGTTTTTGAAGTTCCTCAGAAGATTATGTTTTTCAGAGAAAAAACTCTTGCTTGGGAAAATAGAAAACCCATATTTCCCTTCTTCAAAATGTAGGTGTCTCTCTTGAAAACTACTTCCCTTCTAACCGCAGTACCGGTGTCAAGACCATGACTTCTTCCACATTCCAAATCATCCACCTAAATGAACTGCGAAGTAACAAACTGGCATGATGAGATGGAATAAATGCCTTAATTTAAAAGACCCCCAAATTCTGGATTTAAAATGGACTGACGTGTGGCAGTTCTGTGGAACAAAGAAATTCTCTAATATCACCAGAACCCCCTAAGATAAAAAAGGCATAACTGTGTTGTCCAATTCTATATTTAAGTGATTATAGCACTTAGTTCTACTTCACAGAAAACAAGGTGACTCATAGTAGTTACTACTGGTATCATAATCTGTATAAACAAACATGTTTGAAAGCTTCAGAAGTGTGTGGAATGTTGACTGGCCTGCATGGTGGTTAAAGCCCCTGGCAAATCTTGTGATCAGAAGTGCAATTAATACCCAATCTTCTAGTCAAGTGCAGTTATTTTCAATTTTCTTTCTGATGTTTGTGATAGCTTCTTGTAAACAGCTGTTTACAAATGCCAAGAAAATACCGAAGTGGTAATATTCATGAAAGAGTTATACTGACAAAGAATCTCCTGTTTCAACTTCAAAGTAGATCACTATAATGTCAGGATGTAAGTTTTGTTTCTCTCTTCGCTATTATACAACTGTAAATCCTGTGTGAGAATCCATGTTTCATTTACCTGTGACAATGCAAAAACCAACTGATTTGATATTTTGGATAAAACTGTGGTCAATGTCACACATGTTCTAAAAAAATTATGACAAAATGGAAACTTTTTCAGTTTGTTTTAAACTGCTGACAATGTGACACAGACTTTTTTTATGAGCAATATTACCTCAGTTGAAAGTGTCTCTGGATTAAATGAAGAGAGCAATTCTGTGATAGCTCCATCATGTAGTGCATAGTAATGTGTAGATATTAAATATGCTCCAACTTTTCCTTCTCTTGAATATTCCTGGAGCGTTATTTTTAAATCATTGACTGTTAATCAGTTACTAACTTCTCCTTGCCAAAAAAACCCAACCAACCAACCCAACAAAACAACAGCAACAAAAAAGCAGCACCAAAAAGTAGAACAAATACATCCTGGCTTCCTATTGTTTTTTTCCTACTAGTTAAATTTTCTGGTTTCATGTTATGTGCAACAGCAAACTGAAATGGTTCCTTTGTTCAAAGTAGACTCCAAGGTCTAATATGGGGTGAACTCATACAAGAGCACTTGACTTCAGGGGATGCCTGTAACAGCCATCTCTTGCATTAGATAGTTTACTTCCTTTAAACCTTAAGGAGTACAATTTCTTTTTCCAGCACCATACAGCTCATCTCTATCAGTGGAAACTTGTTTAAAAATTCCAGAATTACTGGTAACACGAGGGAAATTGATAGATGGTGTGATTTTACAAAATCTTTTTTTTTCCTAGTGACAGAAAAATCTGTACTCTGATACAGTTGATTGCTGCTCATATGTTATACTCAAGGTGATTTTTTTCTTTTCCTTTGTAATGATAAAATGAGAAGTGTAGAAAAATGAAAAGGAAACAAAATAGATACGCAGTAAACAGAAAAAGAATATTCAAGAAAATTGTGCAATCGCAATACTGTTCCTTCAACTTTGCAGTGGGCACTATTTATATTAAAAAAAAATCAGTTTTGTAAAAGCTAATGGGAGATTTAAATTCCTGCCTCTGTCTATAAGGTAATAGGATATTTTTAAGTATGTACATTTTTTTCTTAATATTTGAATATGCACAGATGATGAAAGGGCATTTTTAAGCAATGTTTTTATGGTTGGGTTGAGTAAAGTCAGGATGTTGGCTACAAAAATAGTTTAGAGTCTTAGGTTTGTTCTATAAAGATTTCAAAGGATTTTGGATTATTATTTAAACATTTCTGGATTGATGTATATAGCTCAGCTATTTAAAACTATTAGATATAGTGGACAATCTGCTACAGGTAAATATATCTTTAGAAGTATTTTTAGTGTTTCTATTCAGAAATGCCTTTCTCAAATAAAAAGCAAAATAGAATAAAAGTCATTGACATTTCTTGATAGCAATTGTCTATGCTTCATAGGTTGAAAAAACCTATGCAAAAAGTTCTCAATGTGTTTGTGTTTACCTATTTAATGCTTTTCTTTCCAGTCAGCTGCAAGATGTGTATACATTTGAGAGACTTCTTTTAGTCTACCCATTAACCTTTATAATTTGAATCTGGTTTTTGACCCTTATTTTCTTTGTTCTTCATAGTTGTAGTACTTTTTAGAATTCATTTGAAGGTGAGATTAACGCCATCTGATTTTAGTCATCTGTCTTAAACTTTGTAGAGGATGGAGAGAGGTGATCGATCCTGTTCATAAAATGAATGTTTAAATTACATGAAATCCAGATCCTTGTATCTTCTTATTAATTGCAGACAAGCCTAGAGGACTATCTTAGATGAGAAGATAATTGGATAAATGTACTGAATAAATAAATGTTCTACTTTGCATTTGGAATCTCTGCTGAGTATGCAGGAATCACATTATTAGATTAACATTTATTACATTATATATTCATTGTTAATAGAAACATTAAAATTAATTGTTGGCCACTTCTGTTAGCATGTTTTTATAATCCAGATGTTGCTAATTGCAATGACATGACTCTAATCTTAAAATTACTACATCAGTGTATTTGTGCTGGACTTATTGCTAATACTTAAATGAGAGCCTATTATCTCTTCAAGAATATTTTTATAAAGTGAGGATTTAAATTATGAAGAAAAAAAAATATCCATGCTGAAAATTTCTGACCAAATTATTTCTTTGCCAAAGCTACCATAACCCTATAAAAAAATACTGTCATAGCCTTTTACTCCCTAGACATGGCTGCTACTTTTGTTTATGGAGCGCTTTGTACTCCCTTAAAGAGCTATGCAGGTCTTGAAAATTACTACTGCTTTAAAACTTCAAATTTTTAGTTAATCTCATTAGTGTTTTCTAAAGTACTTTTTTTTGTAGTAATAATTTGCTGCTTCTGTATTCATTTATGACTTCTATACTATGATGCGTATGCATAACTTTGATAATGTTTAGGATTTGTATCAGAATAAAGCTGAGCCTGTTATTGTCATTGTTAGACCTTGTCCAGATTTCAGCCCTAGCCAATGTAACTGTTACACATTTCCCATAAAAACTACTTTCATCTTGTTCTCCTGATAAGAAAGTTAAGTATGAGGTGCAGCTAGAAGGGT